TACCTTTATACCAATGATAGAAATCTGTATGCCAAGATGGGGGGACTGTAGTGCTTGGTGCTAAGTAACAATATAGATATAGTGGGTGTTTCAGAAACATGGTGGAATGGGGGAAGTCATTGGGATATGGTTCTCTATGGGTAAGTGCAATTTGTTTCCACTATGGTGATTATAACAGAGAAGAAGGGTGTGATTATATGCATGTATTTTTGTGAGACACATGTATACGTATTGTGAAAACCCATGAATTCTACTGGGAGCAAAGATGAAATTAACAGAAAACTGAGGTTTTTGCCAGTGGTGGGCCAGTGGTGATAACGGTCAGAACCCTAGATGTTAGCTTCAGGAGTCAGAGACTTGTCTCAAGAACCACCAAAGGCCAGATCCCGTGTACAAGAGAAAACAGCTGAAGACAGAGATATTACACAGATGCTAGAGGCCAGGCTGGCCCTTCGTCACTGATTACCATCATCAACACCCGCTTCCCTTTCTGGCTGAAGTTACTTCCTGCTTTTCATTTGCACTCATGTGTCTCTTATATGCATGCCCTGGTCCAGCCCAGGTTGTTTTTAATGAAGCCCTTTAGTTAAGACAATACTGAAAGGAGGTGCCTGCTTTTCCAACAAAAGTAAGGCACAGCTGGAAAAGGCTTGCTGATAGAGTTACAAAGAAATCCAGCTGACCCACGTGGCTATATGCTAGGGTTTTTCCACTGAGGATGAAGACAACACTGGGTATAAAATGGCAGCAGGTCACTTTATCATGATAGGAAGTCTGGCTTCTACCTAGCTCTGCAACTTAAATCACAAATGTGCATCCTAGAAAATCAGCTTTGTCCAGTCCCCATGTATGAAACAGGATAGTAAAGGTAAAGGTTCCCTTGCTCGAAAGCCAGTCGAGTCCGACTCTAGGGTTGTGGTGCTCATCTCCGTTTCAAAGCCGAAGAGCCAGCGCTGTCCAAAGACGTTTCCGTGGTCATGTGGCCGGCATGACTAAACACCAAGGTGCATGGAACGCTGTTATAAAAAAAATGTTTTTGAAGTATCACGTGTAGACTTGTTCATTTAAATATTCCCTTAATCTTCCATTTAAAACAAAGAAAAAAACTTTAAAACTAGTCGCAAAACTTTTTTTCAGCATGGAAGTGGCTTTTTGATGTCACAAATGCCAGCCAATCAACTGCTAATTCCGTTTCCACTACAAACATGCAGAGATGGCATTTTCAGAGTTTGAATCATATGCTGAGGGGATAGCTTCGACCTTTCTGATATGCACATTTACCATTTTGTTTGAACAGGGCACAGCAAGCATTTTCAGCCTCGGAACATAGAATGTGTACTGAAGCTGAAAACAGTGCCCTATTTGAACAACATAGTGACTATGTGTAGTGGGAGGATCGTGGGTGGCGCACAGTCCTGGTACAAGTGATTGGAGAACTCCAAATGTAATGTCTGAAAATTGCTGTTATCACCTGCTACACATGAAATATCTGTTCACAGCTAATCTGCAAGGCCTGGATGAAACAATGGCAACTCTGTTGTGTCTTTGTTGGCCATTTCAGCTCTAGGTGTGCGCAGTCTCAAACGTAACAACAGTTTATTGGAAGAGAGCAAAGATATGAATCCACAGGGCTGGATTCTGTGGGTTATTCTGAGTGTTGAGAAGACTTGATGGTAGGTATGTGAGTCTTGTAGCAAGTGATGAGGTTGAGAATTTAATTTTTTCTGCAAACCACAATGATTGCATACACTTTCTCTGTAGTGAGATGCTGCTAGAAGCATTTGCCGCTGTATTGTTTGGCATCTGTACCCTACTAAAATTAGAATCTTTGAGACATTGTTTTTGCCCCATTAACCTTTAAGATCCTAGAAAACCTTCCAAGAGTTACTGGAAAAATAAGGGAGGTGAAGGCTAAAAAGCAATTTGTTTTAGTATGGCATTGTTTATTGTAGACATTATTAATAACAAATTAAAGAGGCATCCATAGCTCAGCCACCTGGCAACAATGACGGGTGAAAAAGTGATGATGGACCATTTTAAATTGAAGATTCCCATGTAAGATGAGGCTAGACATCAAAATATGATGATCCCGATTTCTGGATTCTCTGAAAAACAATCTGGGGGAAAAAGCATAGTGAACATTATGACTTAAAAATAAATGCCCAAACCAAAATTAAAATGAATTCCTTGAAGTGCATGTCTCTACATAGCATCATGATGATTTTGTGCATCTTCTGGATTTTGTCAAGCTGTGGGGCCTGCAAAATGGAGCTGTTCCACCAGGCCTATGGTTGAAGCTGTGGTAACCATCGGGAGTGGCCTCCCCTGGCGTTCTCTCTTCGTTAGTTTTTCCTGCTCCTCTGTATTATTTTAACATCTGTTGTTGCACTTGATGCAGAACCCCCACCCCCTTGGGGTGTATTAACTTATTCCAATGATTCGGCTCCCATCTGATACTGACATTAGATATTGTTCTTAAAGTTAATTTATATTTATTGTTTTTATTGTGATTGTTACTGTTATTACCTGCCCTGAGACTGCTTGCAGGGGAGGGAGGGCTATAAATCAAATCAAATAAATAAATTATTTTGCCATCTTTCCAATACCTGCTTGAGTACACTATTTTTTTAAAGATAGCAGCAAAGCCAGGTTGGCAGCAATGTGGATGGGAAAGTCCAAATTATTCCTGATCCCATACATATTGGCAACATTTCCACTCCCTCAGTCCCATGTGGTACCCATTTTCTCCTAAATATGTTACATTGCCTGGTAATAATGGACACTGAATCTCACAGATTTATTACAAGGCACAACTATTTGTGTGACAACATATGAGCTGTTTTCATTGTTTCCAGCATTTTTGGAAGTTTGAAGTTTTAGTTCTATATAATGAAGACTAACTTGTATTGAAATGAGTCATACTCGAGAGGTCGTCTTTTTTTCCAGATTTTGTGGCACTGATGATACCTTTTGTATGAGGCTGTACAATCCTGAATGGATTATTGCCAAATGCAGCACACATTGCTGTTGTTATTTTTTCTTTTATTTATTTTTATTAATTCAATTTATACCCTGCCCTCCCCGCGCATGGATCCTGTGATAGAGCATTTGTGCTTTTTGCATAGTTTGTGTTAGATGACACATATGTGATATGTGTTTACTTTCTGAAATATAGTGGCAAGTGGTGGGTTTTTTTTGTACTAATATGTGTGCCGTTGGGGGCACAAGGATTATCCTGTGCTGGACACGTGAATGCTTGTATAATTGCTCAGTCTCTGTACATATTGCTTGTTGGAGGTCCTGAATCCGTGTCTCTTTTTTCCTCACTGCAAGAACCTCTTCCATTTCTCTTTTCTGGCATTTCCCCCTTATGCCACCACAGGGCTTTTCCAAGTCTTTTAAGAATGTGTAATTGACCAATTGTTGTGGTGTTATAATATTACAGCAATTTGTTGATAGATGATTTTTTAAAAACCTGAAAAGGCCCCCCTGATTGTGTGGGGAGGAATAGCCAGCATGGGGGTCTGGGGCAGTGAAATGGGGGGCAACCCGCCACAGAAGCCCCATTGCTGCTGCTCTATGTTGAATCAGCAGCATAACTTCTGAGAATCCTTGGTGCACCTTAGCCATATTATTTGTGGGTCTGGATATAAAATAGACTACTGATATAAGATTTTATGGGAAAGGGCTACTTTATGCAGATATTTATTTTATTTTTTTAGTTATTACCGCTATTTTATTTTTGTAGTGATATATTGTGATATATATTAATTTTGAACCAAGAGATTAACTTTGTGTATTTGTTAAAAAAAAATTACAACCCCCCCCAACATCATCTTGTACAAGAGTTTATGCATTCTTCTGCATGTAGTCTTGATAGTCCTGTAACCTACTGCTATGAGGACTGTCAAGGGATCAACAGAGGCATGAATTTGTGTCTCAAGCAGGCAATCATATACCCTGGACTGTATGTTAATTGCAGTGAGTTGGTGGGGGGGCAGTCATGTGGGGCAGATTGGTACTGACACATACAGGCTCAATAAAACCAACAGCAAACACTGGGGAGAAGGACCTGGGAAGAGTTCAAATTTCTCCCCAGAAGGAGGCAGGCCATCTTAGGGAGGACTCTGGCTTCCATTAACAAGAACCCTAGAACAATCTGAGATGGAAATGTGGACCTTCTAGGGTAGGAGTAGCAAAGAGGTGAACAATGATGCTATTGAATTTCACAAGCTTGTAGGTTTGCATTTTATTTATTTCATACATTTTTAGCTTGCCCTTTCTCCAGGGAGCTCAGGGTATCATCACTGGTCTTCCTTCCTCCAGGTTAAGAAGCCTTGCTCCAACAGAAGTGGGTTTTCTACTAGAGGAAGAGCTACTTCCTGTTGTAGGAAGGCTTCAGACTTTGTTGAGTGGGGTGGTAGGTTACAAGTCAGTAACTCAGCATTATGCATATAAATGTCATACATTGGCCCCGGTCACACAGGCTGGATATCGTGGGGGGGAGGCATGGCTAATTGCCCCGGCGCAGTTTGATGCGCGATTATGCAATCAGACACGCCGGCGGCACACCACGGGTCCTTCCCTCGGTGCCGGCGGCGGGTAAACGAGGGACCAGAGGGGAATGCCGCACGCCGGCGCGATCACACAATGGGCGTCTGGAGGCAGCCCGTGGCAAACATTTACTATTACCTTGGAGGTACTAGTTTTTTAAGGCGCATTGTCGGCGGTAAGCCACGGGTGCGCTCCACTTCCCAGATGTTGGGTGTGATCGCGCCCGGATAATCCGCCCACCATCCGTGCCTCTCCCGCAGCAACTTTGCCGTGTGACTGGGGCCATTGTATGTTTAAATACCATATAAATCACATTTAAATGAGTCAAAGATAAAGAACAATTCATTAGTACCTGAAACAAAAATCGATGGAGTGAAACAGCTGACTATGATAACGTAGGGGAAGTTAAGTACAAATGTTGTGTTTTCAAATGCGGCTGTGCTTACCAGAACAAGCCAGGCAGGAATCTTACGATGTTGGGTTTTTCTTTAATGAATCTTTTTGTAGAGCTGTGAATAAGGACAAGAGTGGTTGTTAGCAAAAACTAAAATGATAAATGTGAAAGCCGGTGTAGTTCAGAAGATGTCAGGCTAGGACCAGGTAGGCTTTGGTTCAAACTCCCCACTCTGCCGTGCTGCAGCTCCTTGAGCGATCTTGGACTCTCTCGCATCAGCCTAACCTTTCTCACAGAGTTATGGTGCTGCTGGTGAGATTCATGCACACTATCTTGAACTCTGTAAAAGAAGGGCAGGATAAAAATGAAATACCTCACTAGTAAAAGTGTAAAAACAGGCCCGATCCACCAGATATCTAAACTATATTAAAGAAATCTCACTGAATTGTGAATACATATTATCAACCAGGCTGTTTGTATTTGTTGGGGAGGGCATCATGGTTGTAATAACAGCTGCAAGTGTTAAAGTCTTACTTTACTGGGGTGGGGCTTATTCATTAATGGGAAATTTTAAATACAGAAGGTAAAAATGATCTGAGTGGTTATTATGACTAATGGGAATGAAAAAGATAATGAGGCTTTTGTGATTAAAATATAAGTTCTAATACCTTTTTGTTATGTCTAACAGAAACCATATTGGTATTTTGAAGTTAGGAGATAATTAATCAAACAAAGCAATAACAACAACAGGGCTTTTTTTCTGGGGAATGTGCAGGAACACAGTTCCAGAACCTCTTCAACAAAATCATTTTTAAATGTTTAAAAGTCCATGAGTTTTCTGTACAGAGACTGAAAACTTCATTTCCCTATTGAGAATCCCAGCACCTATTTTTCCACAAAAAAACCCCCACCCTGACAAAAATTAATAATAATTATCCCATGAGCACAAGGACTAGACACTAAATAGCTATTGCACATTGATAAGACACTATTTCCTAGCCACTTTAGTCTGGAGTCATTGCTGTTTCTCTGGTGGACTACATTTCATCCTGCTTTTAGGGGCAGTGTTAGTGATTCTGGGACCCTGGGCAAAACTCAAGAATAGGGCCCCAGAATCACTGTGGAGGGGCTGCTCCCCCAGGAGGGAGGGAGAAAAAGCCAGCAGTCCCTCAGCCTGTCTGTCTAGCCAGGCCGGTTGACTTCCTTGCAGCCCAGCTTGGAGCTTGGCCAGGTATGTGGGAGGTGCTGCCTTCTCCAAACATGGCACAGGGGTTGTGAGGGCTTGGCTGGGTGGACACCTTCTCCCTGTGTGGCACAGGGCTTGGCTGAGCAGGTGCTTCCACCCTGCACCGCACAAGGTTTTGCATGGGAAGGGGTTCAGCCAAGTGGATACATCCTCTCATTGGAAAATCACATGTTTTTCTCCTTTTTGGGCGGACTGACCCCCCATTTCCCTATAGCTGATTGATCCCCCCATTTTTATTGACTCTCGGGCATTGAGGGGGGGGGGATCACCAGCAGATGCCTGACTCAGCCACAGTCACTGTGACTCCCAGTTGGTAAGGTCTTCTGGGCTGCAGTGGGGCAGCTGGCTGCAGAGTAGTACCCCACTCACCTAGTGCAGAGCCCAGAGTAGCTGCCCTGGCTGCCCTGTGCTTAAAACCACCCCTGTCTGCTTTGAAAATTAATTCATGTTTTTCCATTAAGCTTAAAGGGGACGTGAATGCTGTATACCTGTAGCGTTTGGTATTTATGAGCCAGTGAACAAAATCTTTGGCTTTCATCTTGTCCAGATACCGAGTAAAGTCACTGGTGAAAGTACCTTCAGAATGTCGCTTGACGTTGGAGGAAAAGCTCTGGGCACTTTCTGTTGCATAAGATTTCCACCTGTTTGAGAGCAGTCAACGAGAGTAGCCAAAGAACAGTGAGTATATCTTTGTAGCTCATGGTGCTCTATATTAAATTAAACCAAAGCTGTGCCTCTATCAGTGGGGTCAGTATTTCCACAGTAATGTGTCAGAAACCATAAGTAAAGGAACAAGACTATTTACTTGTTTATTTTTCAGCTAAAGGCTTGCTTCATGATTAAGGTGGCCAAGTCTGGCAACTGGCAGGAAAAGGTACTTACTGGGGTGGGGGATGATGACATCAGTTCTGGAGCAACCCAGATGCACAGACATTTAACTGGGATGACACTAGCACTCACTTCAGAACTCTATGGACTCTTTCAGTCATGCCGGAAGTGACATCATTGCCCAGCAATGAAGATTCCCCCCCCCCCCCCGTTTTGCCGGCCTGCTTCCACCTGCCAACCAGATAAGCATTGGTAGGCTTTGGTAACAGTTTCCAGGAGTCTGCCCGCCATTAGCGGGCAGCTGGTAAGCTCTCAGATTTCTCAGATTGGCAAGAAAATGTCTATGCAACAGTAAAACAATAAAAGAGAAAACAACCAGAAATCAACAATAAAGATCCAAGACATTAATATATTTCTCCACTTATAAACACAGCAACAACATTCTTGAGTCACAAACACAGGCAGTCTCTTACTCTTGCTTCCTGTTTCCTGCCCTCTCAGACAAGATGGTTCTCTAAATCTCCTACATCCACAACCAAGTGATACATTCAACTCCACTAAAGGAGTAAAGGAGGCATATATCAGCTAGGGATGCAGCCTCCAAGTGGGACCTGGGGATCCCCTGAAATTACAGGTCATCTCCAGATGACAGAGAACAGTTCTCCTGAATGCTTTGAAGGGTCGACTCTATGACATTGTAACCCACTAAGGCCATTGTCCTCCCCAAGCACAACCCCCAAATCTCCAGGAGTTTTCCAACTTGGATCTGGCAACCCTACCCCCACCCCCCTCCCCTGCTGGTGGCCGGGGGACCTGGCAACCCTAATGCTAACAGTGGGCTCATGTAGTAAGTATGTTGAGGGGAAAGTCACACGTTTGCAGTATGGAGGCCCCTGCCACACGGCAGGGAAACCACGAGGCAAAAGCGCAGCTAATAGAGCCGCTCCAACGTTGAGACGCTGCGGCGGGATCCCACGGATCCCCTGGCCGCAGCGCCTCTTCTCCCCGGCAAGAGCAGACGCCGGGGAGGACGAGCCCGATGGGAGGGGGAGGCTGCCGAACTGCGCATGCCCGAGCATGCGCAGTACGGCCGGGGGCTGGGATGCGGCGGCGCAAGGACGCGCCGCCGATCCCACGGCCGGCTTGGGGCGCTCCGGATGGCTGCAACCACCTAGATAGGTGGTTCGTTTTTGCAGCGGGGCATCGCCATTTGGGCTGGATCAGGGACGGAGACGGCACGCTCCCCAGATGTTGAGGTGGGATCGCGTCCGTTTGCTCCGCCCCTGTTCCGTCCCACTCCCGTCCCAAATGGGCTCGTATGAACGGGGCCGGAGTTAGGCAAGGTGGACATTTGGCTTCTTCTCATCCTATAATGAAATGTTGTGTCACCGTCAAACGATAGGATGGGATATGTTTGCTGGGATTTACTGGCAATATGGGCCTGTCATGTAGACATGTTGCCTGTTTGGCCCATTAGCAGCCCCAGACTTCCAGTTTCCATATTTTCCACAAAAGCACATCTCTAGCAGTGCAGTTCAATCCTATGCCCAGTTACCCTAGTCTGATTGATCTAAATAGTCTTAGATGGAAGCAGTACTCCTCAGGATTGCACAATGGACCTTCTAGGGCTAGAAAAAACAACAACCGCAAAATGCAGTTTTCTAATGTATGTAGTGGAAAAAGGGCCCATTCCACCTTCCATTTGCTCTAGCCAGTGGGGTAAATCATGGCTGTGATTGACAAGTGTGGGAAGCAAGAGGGGAATATTTTGATTCCATACTGCCATGAGTTGCTTCTTTTGTGCTTGCCTTAGTTGAAGGCCTACAGCAGCAATTAATTAGAGCTGTCTACCTTCAGGTGGCGGCTGGAGTTCTCCGAGAATTATAACTGATCTCCAGACTACAGAAATAAATTCCCCCAGAGAAAATGTCTGCTTTGGTGGATTGACTATGGCATTATACCCTGCTGAGGTCTGTCCCCTCCCCAAACACCGCCACTCCGCCCCGAGACTCCAAGAAATTTCCAAACTGGAGTTGGCAAGCCTAAATTAATAGCTCTGGCTGTGTTTTCTTCTTGTGCTTTAACTGGCTTCTAAAAAGCAAGTAACTGTAAGGATAAGCACACCATGCTTTCCTGTGAATTTCCAAATTATTTAAAAAACACACTAAATAACACACTTTCAATCCACTTTCAGTGCACTTTGCAACTGGGTTTTACTGTGCTTAATGGTAAAATCCACTTGCAAATAGTTGTTGAAGTGGAGTAAAACGGCGTTATTTAGCATGCGTGAAAGAGCCCAGTGATATAAAAAAGATGGAACCTCTCTCTCTCTCTCTCTCTGTATGTATAAAGGATACTGTTCATTAACTACTTCTCTGGCTCTGTCTGTAAGGATGAGAGCAGCAGAAAAATAAATTGTTCTTTATATTTTAAAAACTGAAGAATAATTTTAGATGGTGCGCTAACAAGTCAAAAGGTGCCAAAGAAGAAGAAGAGGAGGAGGAGGAGGAGGAGATTGGATTTATACCCCACCCTTCACTATCCAAAGGTGTCTCAGAGCGGCTTACAAACTCCTTTCCCTTCCCCTCCCCACAACAAACACCCTGTGAGGTAGGTGGGGCTGAGAGAGCTCTGACAGAAACTGCTCTTTTTCAAGAACAGCTGTTATCAGAGCTACGGCTTGCCCAAGGTCATCCAGCCAGGTGCAAGTGGAGGAGTGGGGAATCAAACCCAGTTCTCCCAGATTAGAGTCTGCACACTTAACCACTACACCAATACTAGTACCTAGGGGATGAAGGACATGTAATTAGTCCAGCCTTTCAGGTGCCCGAGGTGACATTGGGGATACAGCTAAATGATACATGTAACACGAGCTGGGTTGGAGGTCCCATGACCCACCTTGCAGTCACCTCTACCATTAGGAGAGTCACCTGCCAAAGAGCCTGATGCCCATGGAGGCTCATGAGCACTGCAAGAGGGGAGGGGGGTTTCAGGCTTCTCTCCTGCACCATTTTCTCAAGCGGAAACACCCACAGGGGGCTTGTTTGCCCCATTTCTAGGGCTCCACATGACACATGGAGCCAGAGAAGTAGGCTAGCTGTCCCCTCCCCACAGGTGATTACAGCAGGAAAAAATGGTGCAGGAAGAAAGGCAGAAGATGGAGCAACAGGCACGTTGGCAGGTGAGTACCCCCAATGAATTATGTGACATGTTGCCCTCCACACTGTTTCTGGAGGTTCTCTGATTCACAGAAGCACTATTCTGAGGGGCACAGAAGCCTATAGAAGGAGGGCATGGGAAGCTGCCTTCTTACAGTACAACTTCATTCAGGCTACTTTAAGTCTGGGGGGGGGGAAGAGAGAGGAACAATCTGGATGCTCGGAAGCTCTTTTCCTCCTTGAGTTTAAAGCATGGAAAGAGAATAAATCCCGCTTCCCTACTCCACAACTCTGATTCTTTTAGCAATTTACGACGACTCAGGACCAATTTTACCTGAACCCTTCGTGGCTCTCCCATAATCAGTGTAAATCTTTAGTTGGCTTCTTGCTGCAATAATACATATTTCAATTTGTATAGATCTGAGTTTTTCTGCTTCAACTGGGCTAGCACTTTACTTGGACTAGCAGTAGACCAGGTGATTCCCAACATTTTCTTAAAGTAGCTGCTTCTAACACAGAGCAAGTTTTCAAATTTTGAAAAGCCAGATTTTGAAAATATTGTTGGAGTGAGTGACTCAGCACACTTGCTCTACATCAATCTAAGCATGTTATCTCCTTGAATGGGATGCCTCTCTTTGTCTTAATCTGGCAGATGCCCTCTGACCCCTCCTCTCTCCCCCTTTTGTCCTCTCACTGACCGTACCTGGCCTTCCATGGAGACACATGTCTCTGCAGGTCTCTCCTGTAGATACAGTGCCCTCATACTCCCATTCACATGATGCCAGATTAGCTGGCCATTTGTGACAGGGAAAGTACTATTTAGATTAGGCTTCTCCCTGTTCCTTTGACTGTAACCTTAATGTGAACTGAGTCTACTGGAATAATGTAAGTTTAAGTTTATCTGTTTTGCAATATACTTCTTGGGAGATTTATTTACTGCACTCAGTATCACGCTTCTATGACTGGACAAACTCTGCTATAGTAACCAAATCTCTCTCTCTCTCTCTCTCTCTCTCTCTCTCTCTCTCTCTCTCTCTCTCTCTCTTTCTCTCAATATATATATATATATATTTATATATCTATATCTATCTATCTATCATCTATCTATCTATCATCTATCTATCTATATCTATGGATAGATAGATAGATAGATAGATAGATAGATAGATGATAGATAGATAGATAGATATAGATATATAGATATATGCATATCTATATTACAGATTCCTGTGGGCAATAACCAGACGTTTCAATCCTTGTGATTCCCCCACCCTAGCCCAGCAGAACTCAATGACAGTTATCATTCACAATTGCTCCTTACCTTGACTCATTAGTGGAATCTTTCAGGACCATTTGCCAGCTAACGGGAAGTAAAATTGCAGTAAGCAGTCCACAGACACAAAGCCACCATGTGTTCTTCATCTGGCCTTCTGCACAAAATCTAGATCCAAATAGTAACCTTCAAAGTGGGATTTTAAAACTGTTTTAGAACAAGACATAATGCTACATTCTTAGAGTTCCATTCTTTGCAAAAGTGAGGGTTAAATCCCAGTATCTGGAGTCATCTGGGTAATTAGTTTAATCCAGTCAGATTTTTCACTCAATCTCACCTGTTCCCCCTCCTTACTACAGTCCCAACCAACTTGGATTTTGTCCCTGTTGATCCCCTGATCCCCACCATAACCCTTTTGGAGTGTCAGAGGGGACCCATCCTTTCTTTCCCACCAATAAACTGGTGGGATCAAAGCCGATGATTCCAGTTTTGAACATTGTGGATCCTTATTCCCCAAAACCCGCACCAGCCCAAATAGTTGGCTAGAACAACTGCTTTGAAGCTGATTTTATTCTTTTCAGTCCAATTAGACACTACGCTCCTAAACTCATTTCAATGGCTTTATGGCTTGAGAGAATTCAGAACTGAGGTGACAGTGATATGGAAGGCAGTATTGCCCATGTTATGCACATTCATCCCAAAGTCATCTTTGCTCTGAGGTTTTAATAATGCATCAAAACCTGCAAAACTTTCTTGACTAGAGGAGAGAAAGAGAGAGAAAATTCCTCCCTTATTGCTGATTAATATGATTATTTTATTGCACAGTTGTCTATTTCCTCAGTCTGTTGCCTCAGTCTCTTCTGAAAGGTGCCCAGAAAATATAAGTACAAATATAAGTACATATAAGTAAAGAAGTACACGGTACGAAGCAAGCCATACATCTCCCACACAATCTTTAAGTCTCTTAAAAGTTACCGTCTGTCTTTCCAGGCACTAAATGTGATTCATAGCCTCAGTCCAAATACTGAACAAGATTCTTATTCTTAATATACCTTTTTTTAGTGAGTAATTTTTGCTAAAGATTCCCAGCCCCAAATGCCAAAAGAACGTTTTAGAAATGTCTCACTTGTCCTTGATCTTCTTACTTCAACAGAATTGCTGTTTCCTTCAAGGATAATACCTGACTTCTTCTAAATTCAAAATAACCACAATTCTTCTCAGATGAGGGAAATCCTGAAAAATGGTTTAAAGTTTTCTCCTTGAGCTGCAGGTAGACTATCTTCCTCAGTGATATTGTGAATGTTTCCCCTTAGAGTGGTGTAGACCAATTATTATGGAAGGGGTAGATGCTGAGGAAAATATTACTTACCTTCCCAAGGATGCAAGTTTCTCTTTAAACCTTACGTCCCTTTTGCTTCGTTTGGGCTCTTTTGAGGCTTTCACACTATCCCTTCCCACTGCTTTTAAGCTTGTTAGCGGAATGCTTGAAGATGACAGGTAGGTCACTGGTGTTCCTGTTTTTAGTGGGATGGGTCATTTATGAATCATTTCCGGATCTTTCTTTTTTTCAGGAAAAGTGGGTCCAGAGAGAGGAGGTAGCCATGGCAGGACTCTTCAGCACAGCCTCCAGCAACATTTTCGCCCTGGTGCTCAAATGGATCAAGTCAACTCTGTGATTCTTTCTTGCCGGCGGACTCTCTCATGCTCTCCCTCTGTCTCTCTCTCTCTCTGTTTCATTTTTTCAGTACCTTCCAGACTGCTGTTCCAAACACCTTTTGAAACAGAAGAGAAACTCACAAAACAGTAAGAACCTGGAAAGACCTGGAAACCAGTAAGACTATCTGAATCTCTCTTCAGACCTTTATCTCACCACACTTCAACAGAAAGACTTCAAAAGGATGCTCTAATATGAAGCTGCCACCCTAGAATTCTTTAGCAGATTCAATGATAACTGAATTGGGATTCGGTTTCGATACTACTGAAAGAAATTGCCCCTCTTTGTGTGTTAAATTAGGATATCTAGCAAGACAAATAGTATTGTTGCCAGGGGCTGCTGGTGGGAATGGGTCACTCACTGTTTTTATCCTGTATACATTTAGGCTTTTTATAGAAATATGACAGACCTACAGCTATCCCTTGCACTTCATGACATTATGGCCATTCTTTTCTTCCTGTGTCCCTCTGTACAGGGACCTGACAATGATACCATGTCATACATCTAATGAAGTGGACTTTAATCTGTAGACGTTTATGCCAACATTCATTTGCTAGTGTTAAATTGCCATGAGAGTCATGGGTTGTTTTACATTAACATTTCGATTCTTTTGACTTAAAATGTTTTCACTGATAGTCTCTTTTATACAGGGGTCATTTCGTAGAAAAAGAGCTAGGGGAAATCATTAGCATAACTCATTAGCATATGCCACACCCCCTGACATCAGGGGCCCGGCGGTGGACCTGCAAGGCCAGCGGGAATGCGAGGAAGCCCTGCCAAGGCCCTCCCTGGCCCCAGGCAGGCAGGGGTGGGGAGAGGCGGGGAGGAAGCAACTTACCCTCCCTCGTCTCCTGCCTCCTCCTGGCTAAATGAGGGCCGGAAGCGGGGCGGCCGGAAGCAAGGGGCGGGGCTTCGTCATGTGCCCCGCCCCCTGCACCTCACCTGGGGGAACTGCGTTCTCCCGCGTTCCCCCCCCGAAATGACCTCTGCTTTTATACACTTTGTGGAAAGAGATCACCCACCTGTTATACCAAATATGTTTTTGATACATAAACAAATTCTACACACGCACAACACAACACAGCACAACACAACCAGGGAATAGGGCCAATAAAAGTTCATTGGGGGTACACCAATGCTGGTGGAACCCAATGACTGAGAGAGACCAATGAATTTCCTTGGGGCGGGTGTTCCAAAGTTTCAGAGCCAGGACCAAGAAGGCCCTTCCTCAGGTTGCCTTGTGCCTAACCTTAGATGGTGGGGGCACCTGAAACAAGGTCTCTGGTGATGATCAACTGCACCTTCTATAGCTCCTTGTGCCATTGTTGAGAGCCCCCCGCACTCAGAAGCAAAAAATGTTTTAGGTGGCTACAATAAAAGAAGACAGATGGGAAAGACTGTCAGAACAACCCTTTAGGGTAGGTCGGTATTATTATAATCTCCATATTGTTGTCTTTCTTGATTTGTAAAGGGTAGAGCAGAGATTTGAACCAGGGACCTTTGGGATCACTGCTCGTTACCAGTCCTCATGATGTAGTTAATTAAAACCAGGTGGAAGTTGTGATTTGGTTCCTTCCCCAGTTTGGCTCTTTTGTCCTGCCAGTCTTGGTCTGAGTGCAGAGGCGGCTGCTCCGATTCTGAACTTCTTTGACACTCACCGCATGCACTTTTCATTCTGGACACACTCGCTTTCTAATGAAGCAATTAGACTTCTTTCAGCCACCATTTTCAAAATATCACGGTAGAGGTGGAGCAGAAGAAACTTTTTTGCTAATTAGACGTCCCTCTGTAGCACAAGCAAACGGGCCATCACAATGCTTGTGTAATAAGTTCATTAGCACCACCTTTGGTGAACTGGGTTTCCCATTTGATCTTTTAGTGCATCATTCAGCTTCTCTCTTTATGTGTACTACCAAATTATGTTACGTCCACCTTGTTTTAATCTGGCACATTAATCCTGAGCCATTGCAGGGATGAGGCATGACAGAATTAGTAAGGAATCCTGTACTGATTATGTATGTATGTTCTGTCAAGTCACAACTGACTTATGGTGACCCCAGCTGAGAAGCAGAGGTGGCTTTTTATTGCCTTCCTCTGCAGAGTCTTCTTTGGTCATCCCCCATCTGAGTAGTGACCATCCTGAGCTTCTGAGATCTGATGAGATCAGGCTGTACCATACTGTTCCATATCCTGTTGGTGCTGATTTTTTGTTGTTCAGTCACACAGTCGAGTCCGACTCTTCGCGACCCCATGGACCAGCTCCCGCCAGGCCCTCCTGTCTTCCGCCGTCCTCTGATTAGTATGTGGCAAAAATATATTCTTGATTCACAATGTGCTTCATAAATTCTGCAGGAACAAAGAGGAAAGAAAACTTTCCAGGGCCTGTATGAATGTATACACAAATCCTTGGAGACAAATGTATTATTTATTTTATTAAAACATTTATATCCCATCTTTCCTCTTGGTTTGAGGCAGCTTAGCAGATATTCAACGCTCTGGTGGGTGACCAGAAACAGGTGATGGTGGTGGTGCATCTACTTCTAAAGAAATCTACTCTGGATCCAGGAGATTAGAACCATCATCCAGTTTCACATATACCATTCTTGAGGAAGGTGATTGAATGAGTGCTACCTGGACAACTTTAAAGATTCTTGGATAAAGTGGATCGTTTGAATCTGTTTTCAGGCCTAGTTGTGGGACTGAAAATGGCCTTGGGTGCCCGGTTGATGACCTGCGCTGGGAGATGGACAGAGGGAGTGTGACTCCGTTGATTCTCCTGCACCTCTCAACAGCTTTGGATAACATCAATCATGGTATCTTTCTGGATGACCTTTCAGGGGTGGGACTGGGAGGCACCATTTTATAGTGGTTTCAGTCCTACCCAGAAGGCAGGTTTTAAAAGGTGGCGATAGGGGACTGCCGCTTGGCTTCTTGGCCTCTGTCTTCAGGTGTCCTGCAGGGTCCCATCTCTTCCTGCATTCCTTTAAATATCTACATGATGACCTACAGGTCATCTGGAGATTTGGCCTGGGTTGTCACTGATATGCAGATGACACTGAGCTCCATCTCATGCTTCCAGCAGATCCCAGGGGGGCTGACCATGAACTAGAGGCTGGATGCAGTTTTGGGATGGATGAGAGTCAATGAACTGAAGCTTAAAGCCAACAAGATGGAGATGCTACTGGTAGACAGATTGATTGAAATGGGTATTGTTCTGTTTCCTGTTCTGGATAGGTTGCGATCTCTCAGAAGGTACAGGTTCGTAGTTTGGGGTGCTGCTAGACACCAGTTGGATAAAACAGGTGGCAGCGACGGATAGGAGTGCCCTTCACTAGCTTTATCTGGTGAGCTGATTAAGCCCTTCCCTGGGTAAAAAAAGATCTTGCCACTGGAGTGCAAGCCCTGGTAACATCTAGATTAGATGAGTACAATGCA